TTCTTCAAACAAACCATCTTTCATATTATCAATACGTTCCTGGGAGTATATTTGAGAGTAACGACTACAAGCTATACTGGACCGTACTGTGCTCACAGATCAAACAGTGGCACATAATAGACCAGATCTCACACTAGATAATAAACTAAAGAGACAAACAGCATTAATTGGTTTGGCGATACCCAACAACAAAATCTTTATGTTAAACAGAAGGAATAAATCGCCAAGTACAGGGATCTGGACATTCAAATACGAAGACAGTGGATAATGGAAAGTACCCAGACAATACCTATTATTCTTTCTACTACTGGAGTCATTTCGAAGAACCTCCTAGAAAACATAAAAAATCTAGGTCTGAATGAACATCTCTGATTATGCAGAAAGCTGTACTGCTCTCAACGTCCAGATGTGTACGAAAATTTTGTGGAGATACTCCAGCATACCAAATCACCTAGGGCTCGATAACACGAAAAGAGTCCCACCAGAGCTCAATCCTTTTGATACCGTAGATATTTGGGGTGAGTGAATTTTCCCCTTAGTGTGAGCGTGAGCCGTATGGCTAAATCTGAGAAATAATAATAATACCAAGTCTAGGAAAAAACGGATTTCCGTTAAAGCAAGTTATTTTGTTCATTCTCATGAAATACAAGTTCTTTTATTATTTCTGTCTATAAAGCTTTATCGTAATATTTAATCAAAAACTGAACTAACTAATTCATCCAATTCGAAACATTCACAATGCACAGAACACACTGAACCGCCGAGAATTTCCGTATTAATTAATAATCCTCTTGGACCACGGCCTATAGCTAGGAAGCTATTTCAGCTATTCGATGGGCTAAAGTTAGACCATTCGACGCTGGCCGTTGCAAAATAAAACCAACACTAAAACTGAGTTGTGAAAGCCAAGTGAAAATACACATTACTATCACGTGGAACTATAAAAATTCTTCGAATTTCACTGTGTCTCGATGTTGCCCTCTTAATATTTATTTCGAAAGATGTATTGCGATTCATTGACTAGATTTTTATATTATAAAGCTACGTGTCTTTGCTTTTTATTGCGATTAGATCTTGTAGCTATGAGGATGTTCGAAGAATTACTGGAACTTAGTTTTACACTTTTACACTTTGTCGTTTTTGTATGATATAAATACTTGACCGTTAACGTTTTATGTCTTTTCCATTCTTAACCACAATATTTAAAATAACTTCTCTGTACACATACATTTTGAGCTGTAAAATAATTACAATAAGAAAGATGTAAAAGTAGTATGCCTTAGGGACCTTTGTCTTATATATTCTCTATAAATGAATTCCTAAAAGTATTTGACCGTTACAGTTTTATGTTTGCACTTTTAACCATAAATTTTAAACCTTTTTTTAAACATGGATTTTGTGGTTTAAAATAATTATAATAAAAAATATATAAAAGCTGGCATGCTTTTGAATTTTGAATATATTTTAATATCCTTTTACTTTTAAAAATACCATTACTGTTAAATAGCTCTCCTGTATACCTTACAAAAGCAACAAACATGAAAAGAAAAAGGTAATTTATATAATGTATTTTTGTGTAATAAATATTTCCAAACCATTTACGATTTTTTTCGAATGATATATTATTATAGTAGAAGCCACAGTTGAATGCAGTGTTGGCACATTGGTAGTTTGACGATATACTGAGAAATCAGGACCGTACACGATTCGTTTCGCAAATATTTACTTATTTTTTTTTTTTGTTTTTTTTTTTTATTATTATTATTATTGACACGGGTACAGTAGTTTACAACATTATACATATTTTATATAGGTATAGGTACAAGAATTTAATATGAACATTTTTTTTATAGAAAGGTTAGAACAATAAAGCTTATCACTATGCACTGTTTATATTAGCTGAAATAAACTTGTTTCTTTTAAAAATCTAAGAACACTGTCAAAACGGTTTGGAACACTGAGAATGTCTTTTAGATTTCCTTTTAGGCTGTGCTTGTTTCTGGAAGAGTCATACTGGCAGCAGTCTACCAGTATCACGTGTTTGATGGAAAGGACGTTATTACAGTAGTGGCATACTGGAGGGTTTTCTGATGCCATAAGGTATCCATGAGTGAGGCGTGTATGCCCTATTCGTAGTCGGTGAATAACTGATTTTCTTTCCTGTTCATAGAGGAGATATTGACGCGAGATAAGTTGGGCTGAACTTCATGAAGCTTAGTTTTTGTTTTACTCCACAGGTCCGCCCATAAGCTGAGGATTTTTTGTTTTATCAATATTTTAAGATCCGTATGGATTTGGACCTCTTGGAAGGCTATGTCAGAAGAACATGCTGCTTTAGCGGCTTGGTCTGCTTTTTCGTTTCCAAAAATGTGGAACGCTTCACGATTTTGCGTGTCATCCTTGCGCAGGGGCCATGCTAATCTTCTCTGTATCGTTCCAATTTTAGTATATGTACCGCCGAAGCGAGTACGACTCATTATTTTTAAAGTAATTACTATTTAACAGTTTAGCTCCCATGTACACAACCCTTGGGCACAGTAAGATTTCCGTTCAACCCATTTGTCCCAGCGATGGGCACAAAACTTCCTTCATCCTTGTTCATTTCGGTGTGTACCTCTTATAACCCCAGATGTAGACGATTTGCATTAATAGGCGTGGCATACAAAAGACTAACGTAATCTTGCATTGTTACTCTAACTTTTGCTGGCCGATACTCACTCAGAATAGAATAAATTTTTTGGTCGATATTAATATTTACACCAGAAACTTCGAGATTAGGATTGAAATTGTTAACGAATGAAATGGGCACATAAATAATGTTATTTGCTAAAATTACGGCAACTCGTCCATATCCCTTACTTCTACTTTTATTAACTATATTAAAATTATTGAAGCAAACAGTATCAGATGGTTTGGACCAAGTTTCTGATAAAAGAGCAATGTCAAAACGTTCTTCAAAAAGTAATTGATTTAAAGAATATTTGTTTGCATTTAGCGAACGAATATTCCATTGAATAATTTTAATGCTTTTGGAAGCCATTAAAGTTATGTAAAAGATTACCTATAATATCTTTAATTTTATTTTCTAATTCAATTTCGTACATTTTAAGATTAGATTCTACATTTGAGGAAGAATTACAATAATCCTGGATACTTTGTTGGATCAAATTTTTAAGTGAAGCACTCAGCTGACTGATAAACTTATTGAATTCATTAGGAGGATCAGGGTTTCCAAACTGAAATATAGATCCCGAACAGAAGCTGGTCTGGTATTCTCTACGAATAGGAGGAAAATTAGGAGTTGTATCACAATTTTTTCTTTTTTGGGGGACTAACTGTAGGGGAGGATATATGCTTGTGAGTATTATTATTATTGTAAGCAGTGTTAGAATTCGAAGGTTTAGCAGAAGAGCTTTTTAATGGAGGGAAATCGGTGACACAGGTAGTTAAGGGTGCAAATTTGTTTTTGTGAACTAAACTGGAATAACTTGGATTATCAATAACTTTTTCAGCTTCTTTAAACGAAATATTTAAGTTAGCCATAGCTTCTTTAGTTTTCTTTTGTTTCAAATATTCGGGGCATTCTTTAAAAATTGACTCGTGGTTATTATTTTTACAAAAAACGCAAATGCAATACATTGATCAGAGCAACCAATTTTTCCTTCATTGCCGCATTTTTTACATCTTTTTTGTGACTTACATTGGGTGGTTGAAATGACCATATCGAAGACAATGAAAACATTGCATAACCGGACTACATATATTTCAACTGGACATCTAACTTTATTAATGTAAATATATTGGAGAATTAATTTACCCTCAAAGCTAATTATGACCATTTGTCTAGGAACCCTTTCAGATATACCATTATTTTGAACTAATCTAGTCATTCTATAAACTTTTTTAATAGGAATATTAGACTTAATAGTGTTGAGCAATGCATTCTCACTTAAAGTAGTATCCACTCCACGAACGAGACCTTTTTTTTTCTGTTAAATAATTTGGAATATATGCTATTAGATTATTTTTTTCAAAAAAATCTTCTGTAACTAACTTATTAGCTACAGCACCTGAATCTACTTGAATTTTGATACGGTTTTTACCTACACTAACAATTTCTATAATATTTTTATTATAATTGGATAATGAAAGTAGTTTCTCTCCAAGTTTCATTGGATGCAAACGACCTATATTTAAATTAATATGTTGAACAAATATAAAAAAAAGGACCATTATCACTAGAACTAAATCGATTAGCTGAGTTAAATACCTGATTTTTCTGAATATTTGTTTTAGGCGAAGTTGAACGCAAGTTTTTGCTATCAATATTGTTTTTAATATCATTCCTATCTCTAAATTCAATGTCCTCTACACCAGGATCTGGTGGATCCTTCCCAGAGATACCATTTTTGCCCGCGGACATGACGGGGCACGGCGTTTAACAAAAAAATTAATAAAAAATTTCTACTTACAGTACAGTTGACAGAGTACTGGAACTTAAAATATAAAGCAAAAAAAAAACAAAATCGCTAAACACCCTGTATTATATCTTGAAATACACTTCTGCACTTCACAAAAGATCGAAATCTAATAAAAAAAAAGACTTTAGAACTACTTAAATATATAAATTTTCCCGAGGAACTCTTAAACGCGTCCAAACACTTTGACAGTTATTTGACAGATGCTGAAGCTCGACAATGTAACTCTTTTATTTATACATCGATAATCATGCTTTAGTTGAAACAATAATGATAGTATTTTATACAACCATAGGCAAATGTTGTATGCGCATATATTCTAGTACCATGATTCTTAAATCCGGTCCTGATGCGCCGCTCGGGGCAAACCGGCAACGTTGTCGGTCATTCTCCCGTAAGAAATACATTGTCTATCTTACCTGCACTGCATTCTCACTGTGGCTTCTACTATAGAATTAATTTTTTACGTATTATCTAATAGTGGTTTTATTGTTTCAGGCATTATGTACTGAAGTGTACGAAATGCAAATAAGCGAAGCGGCAGGCGGGGTGCCGGCCCTGGGGGCGGAACCGTGTAGGTTCCCAAAGCTAGAAGAATGTGCCCATTTTCATTATGAAAGGGTGCAACTGCCCCAGTTGGCCGTCACCCTGCAGACCAACATGGACCAGTCACTGCATTCGCAACACAGTAAGTATCTTTAAGTAAATTCTTAGTCTTATTCAACAGATTATTATTTTTTATTAGCCATAACATTGTACAAGAGCTAAAAAAAGATATTAAAATACTCTTTTTGTATCGTTTTAACGAGATTAATTAGATTTATCCTAAAGAGATTCCTAATGGATAAAGATAACAATGCAAAGATGAACATTGGGCACAGGCATAAAGAATCGTTTTCACCGATCTTTAATCAGAACGGTCAGAAAAATTAAATATCATACCTACAAAACATTGACCGGACTAATGTTCATCTATGGTTTAGAGGCTTGGGTACTGCTTGTGGAACTCCTTGTTTGTAAATGACAATGGATAATTTTTTGGCACGTTCTTTTTTAAAATGCACTCTCGTTGGAATCATTTTTTTTATAGAATAAACGAATATATAGAGAATAGAGAGATGTAAAATTGATTATCAATACAGGATTATCTGACTGCGTATTACGAAATCTTTTAATTCGGTTTCAGGGAAAGATCAGCCTACATTTTTAGTGATCCTTATTTTTTCTTACACAGATTGTTCTGATATTTTATAATTGGGTCCGGTTTACGTCTGTCTTTTATTGTATTCCATTTTATTAATCTCTTATTGAGTCTCAGTTTTTCCGATTTTCAATCTGTTGTTGGTTCTAGTCTACTCTATTGCTTTCTTTTTACCGCTCTGTAGATCGGAATGAAGAGTCCCACAACAATCTCTCACTAGCATATAGCTCTAAAAACTTTAGCACTTGGTCATTGCTTCACTCAACCGTAGTTAACGAAAAATTTACCAAACAATAATCAAATAAGTTCGTGCACCGACAAGGCAGCGAACAACATGTAATAAAGGGGGTAATACTGTTTAGAGGGAGCGTACGACAGCGGCAATAGTATGAGTAATGGCAGCGCGAGCGACGTATTTACATACTCAAGCTGCCAACTACCCTGCTTAATTCCCTGCTCACTGCAGCGGAAGTGAGCTGCATTTAAAGGTGGTAATACTGTTGATTCCATAGACATATAATACAAGCTAGACTGACTGCTGCAATACAGCCACGTTCCTCCAGTGCAACAGGGAAAACTAAAACGAGGCAGTCCCTGCATCTCTGTCTAATGAGCAGGGTTTATCGACCACGTGACCTTCTCAATGGTCATTTAGATCGCGTGGTCGATAAAACCGGTGAATTAGAAAGAGATGTAGGGATTGCTTTGACTTAGTTTTCTCTGTCGCATTGGAGGACGGGCTGGTATTATAACGATCAGTCTATCTTGTATTATATGCCTATTGTTGATTCAAAAATAAACATAAAACTTGAATAAATGTGAAAGATTTACATAATGTAATGTCATTAGTATCATGGCCCAATGGAACATAAGTTTTAATGTCAGAGGTCTTTCATCATCATCAACTAGCCTCCAACGTCCACCGCTGAACATAGGCCTCTCGCATGCTTTTCCACTTAGTCCGATTTTGCGCCATCTGAATCCAATTTGTAGTCACTCTTTTTATGTCATCTGTCCATCTCGTTGGGGTCGACCTCTATTTCTGTAAGCTTGTATTCGGGTCTCCATTCCAAAATTCTTTTTGTCCACCGGTCATCAACTGATCTTGCTACGTGACCTGCCCAGTTCCACTTTAGTGTTGTTATCCTTTCAATAACGTCTGCTACTCCTGATCTTTTGCGTATAGTAGTATTGGGTATTCTATCACGTAGAGAAATCCCTAACATAATTCTCTCCATTGCTCTTTCCGCAACTTGTAGTTTACTCACTGTTGTTCTTGTGAGCGTTAGGGTTTCTGCGCCGTAGGTCATCACTGGCAAAATACATTGATTAAATACTTTTCTTTTCAGACACATTGGAATCTTAGACCTAAAAATATCCTTCATCCTTTTAAATGCAGCCCAAGCGAGGTTTATTCTTCTTTTCAGCTCGATTGTTTGCTTGTCTCGACTTATTCTGATCTCATGGCCTAAGTATTTATAGGAGTCAACTGGCTCAATATCTTTATCTTCTACTGAGATGTTTTTGTTGTGGACTAAATTTGTCATAAATTGTGTTTTTGAAAAATTTATTTTAAGACCAACTCTTTTTGTGGCAGTATGGAGTTCTTGGAGCAATATCTGTGCCTGATCAAAGCTGTCTGCAATAAGAACGATATCATCTGCAAATTTAAGGTTATTTAAAAATTTTCCATCTACATTGATGCCCTTTTCGTTCCAATCTATTGTTTTACAAGCGTATTCTAGCAAAGTTGTAAATAATTTAGGAGACATGTTGTCTCCTTGCCGAACGCCTCTTTCAATACGAAAAGTCCCAGTATCTTCATTAAGTCTTACACAGGCTGTAGCATGTTGATAGATGTATCTGATGAGAGATATGTATCGGTGATCTATTCTACATTGTGTTAGAGCTTGGAGCATTTCACTTTGATTGACCGTATCAAATGCTTTTTCAAAGTCGACAAAGATAAGTATCAGGGGTCTATTATATTCAATGGTTTTTTCAATCAACGACTTAATGGTTTGTAAATGATCATTTGTTCCGTATCCAGCTCTAAATCCTGCTTGCTCGCAAGGTTGATAGAAGTCTAGTTTTGATGTCAACCTATTAGTTATTATCTTCATAAACAACTTATAAACGTGAGATAACAAGCTAATAGGTCTATAGTTCTTTAGCTCTGTTATATCTCCCTTTTTGTGCATGACTACTATAACAGCTTTATTCCACTGAGATGGTGTAACCTCGTTTGAAAGGCATAATATTGCTTTCAATACTGTCTTTCCTCCTGCTTTAACTGCCTCAATAACGATTTGATCATCACCAGCTGCTTTATTGTTTTTCATTCTATTTAATGACTTTAAGACTTCTTCGATTGTTATTTCTGGGATATCCTCTGAACCCACATTCTGGACTTTTCTCAACTTGGTGCCGTCTTTCTTCCCCCTTTCTCTATATAATTCTGTGTAAAATTCTTCAACTACCTTAGTTCCAACAAAGCTTCCAACAAAGCCTTAACTAATCCTGCCAGATTGAAAATTCGGCAAAATGTAAAATGAATGGCGTGAATTAAAAATTGTTTTAATCAAAGTGTAACTTCGTCGATGGTATTAATTGTCGACTTCTTATTTCCAGCTAATGATGATACCGATGTTGAGTGGTTCATGGTTCAAGTGACATCTGGAGATGCGTGCTGGATCATTCAGAGGAATTTCGAGAACTTCCAAATGTTGGACGACCAGCTGCACCAATGCATCTTCGATAGAAAAATCTCCCAACTGCAGGATCTCTCTAGTCAGTCTCCGAATGATGAAGATTTGGAGGTAAGGAATATTTGTAGAGAGTATTTTTTAATTTTATGTAATTTTTCCCTTAATTCTTAGTTAATATTGTTGGTATGTATTTATGTATGTATGCTTTCGTATGCAGTTTTTGAATTTTGCTGAGAATAAACTCAGTTTTTGTAAAGGTGTTAAATAAATTAAGGTGACGCGATTTTTGCCATTTTTTTACGATTCTCAATCAAATTGATTACTTTTATTGACCATTTGTAGTAAAAGTTCCGTTTTACAAGATCAATCTTTGAGACCTATGATATGAAATTTCAATTTTGAGTTATGGTAACAAATATGAGGCATTTAAATATGAATAAAAAACGAATAATTTAATGTTTTACATTACAAATAATCACACGTCATAGGATATGCATTTAAGAAGACTGTTTTGGGTGAAGTTTATTGCAGAAGTTTTGTTCTTTTGAAAAACGTGCTACTGTAATTAAACAAAAGGTTGATAGGTCACTTAAATCAAAAGATATCGAAAAAAATTAAAATTCGAAAGTTACAATATGTCGGTCATGTGCTGAGTCATCCGGACAGGTATGTACCTTTTACACCTCATAATCCATGCAAGATTACCGGAAGAAGAGGTCCGATCAGAAGAAGAAAATCCTGGCTCCGAAATCTTCGAGAGTGGTATCAAGAGACATCTGCTTAGCTGTTTCGAGCTGTCAGTAAAAGATATTGCCAATATGATCGCCAACATTCTATAATCGGATAGGGTACTAAAAGAAGAAGAAGAAAACGTCATAGTTAGTCTTATCGCAGTTTTATAAAATAGTTTCCTTTAATCTTTCTGTCCACAACACACCACCTTCTTCCTTTCATATCATCCATCCCGACCTAATTTTACTCCACGCATCTCCATCATCATATTCATAACATTACTGTTACAAAACATAATTAGATCATTATATGCCAATACCAAAATTATTCTTCTATTGAAAATAGCTAATTAAAACATATAAAATATACTTTGAAAAAAAAAACCAATAGAAAATGATCACAGTTAAAATATTTATGAGAACTAATTCAAGAAAAAGTAAAAAACTTTCCAATGACTAAAAGTAAAAAACTTCCAGCAACAGCACACTTTAGCACAAAAGAACTCCAAGTTGTGTTCACTCCAAGATAACTAATTTTAAACTTCTGCGGTGTATCTGCTAACTTCTCTAGATATAAAATCCGTTAACCGACCATTGTGTCCTTTATAGACGTGTTCATGTAGGAGCTCATTCGAGTTTTCCGATGAAAATGGCTTTCCTTGTAACCATTATTGAGATGAAATTGCCTATTAAACCAGAAACAGATAGATCGGCGCTTTTAGTGGAGGGGATACTATTCCGACATAATTTCCCGTTCTTTATTAAATAATGCTAGACGTATATGGTGGAAGTGGTAGTAAATAGGACGGCCGCGGCGATCGATTATGTTTCGTCGAAGAATTGGAACTGGAATGTCTTGTATATAGGTCATACAACAAACTGGGGTGAATTTATGTGTACATCAATCAGCTATAAATAATGAGATTAAGGAGAGCTAGATTGCAGACATTATATTTATATTATAGCTTGTCGAGACACATCGCTAAATAGAAAATCAGACTAGAAAAAGGTGAAATAATAAATGTGAAAAATAAAAAATAAAAAAATGGTGAAAAAATAAATTTTAAAATCATCAAACGACAAACTTGAATTTTATACTCGTATACAATGTAAAATACATATGTGTCATAAACAAAACATCAACAAAAACCTAGAACTGCAATACTACTTAACGGTTAATACAAGTCTTTGGAATGTCTGCACTATTGTGCACCCAAGTCACTATCATTCAGATCCTGAATGTAGAAATGTGGGGATGTGGCAAGGATGGTGTCTAAGAGTACCAAGAAACTATCCGAAACCTTACTGGTTTACAGAAAAAAAGGCTCTTCTTTTTCTTGTAGGGCCCATCCATTTCGGATGTTGGTATGGGCATGGGAATTGTGGTTGTTGTGTTGAATCACGTACGTAGATTTTTCAGCCAGGAAATTCTTCGCCTTCCTGGTTCCGCGTTTTCCTTGAAGAATTAATTGCAGCAAACCATATCTTTCGTTGTTCCCGTGACTGAGATATTCTATTTTGGCTGTTATATCGTGGTTAACAACTCTTTTCCTTTTGCATCTTAATAAAACGTCCTGGTTAGTAACGTGGTCGGTATAGGATATCTTCAGAATTCTACGATAAAGCCACATTTTAAAAGCCTTAAGTTTCTTACAGCTAGCGTCTGTAAGAGTCCACGACTCAACTTCGTACAACGGTATAGAAAAGATATAATATCGTAGTAACCTGATATTTATGGGTACTGATAAATCGTGGCATTTGAATAGCCTGGCCATTTTTTGAAATGCAGATCTTGCTTTTTCTATCCCTCATTTGATTTCTAGGTAATTTTCATTGACGTTCGTACTAAAGTAAGTGTATGTTTTTACTGTTTTCTATTGATTGACTATTCATACTGATTCTTTCAATTTGCTGTTCCTTTTTAGAGATCATCATACATTTTGTTTTCTTAATATTCAATGAAAGTCTATATCTCTGGCTCACTTCTGTGATTCTTATTCATTAACTGCTGGAGGGCTTCATAACTGTCAGCGAATACCATCATATCATCCGCGTATCTGATGTTATTGATACATTCTCCGTTGATTCGAATTCCGACTTCAACATATACTGCTTTTTGAAAGATTTCTCCAGAGTATATGTTAAACAGCAAGGGTGATAGTATACATCCCTGTCGGACCCCACGTGTGATTTTGATATCATCGGATTCTCCTCTCTCTGTACGGATAGACGATGTTATTCCAGTAAATATTCCTAATAATTTTTAGATCACAGTGTTTATTCCAATATTTTTTAATATCTCCATCACCTTGTCGTGTTTTTACTGTATCAAATGCTTAATGGGAATCAATGAAGCATGCATAAATATCGCAATTCGCATCTCTACATCGTTGAAATAGCACTGTATGTTAAAGAGAGCCTCTTTGATGTATGCTTTTTAGAAATAACTTTAAAAATGTGGCTCATTAAGCTAATGGTCCGGAATTCATTGCAAAATACGGATTTTATTTTCTTTGGTAGAGCAATAAACGTTGACTCCAGCCATGATCTTGGTATTCATCATCATCAGTGTCATTACAGTTCGTTATGAGCCAAAGCCTTCTTCAGAACGATCTTCCATTCGCCCCTGTCTCTGGCACTCTTCTCCATGCTTTAACTTCGATGGATTTTAGATCATCCTCTATGTTATCTTGATAGCTAAGTTTTGGTCTTCCTCTGGATCGTCTTCCCACTAGCCCTCTTCGGTCGAAAATTTTTCTGATCATTGCATCTTCATCTCGTCTAATTACATGTAATATCCCTCGAAGGCGTACTAATTTAATAAATTTTACAACGTCAGGTTCCCCAAAACTTCTGTATAATTCAAAGTTGTAGCGCCTACGCCACAAACCCTGTTCTTGGGACTTCTCCATATATTTTCCTTAGAATTTTTCTCTCGAAACGTCTAAGCAGTTCTTGGTCGTTCTGTGTGAGTGACCACGTTTCTGACCCGTATGTTAACACTGGCCTTATTAGTGTTTTATAAATGATAGTTTTAATTTTTCTGGGTAGTTTTGGGGTCATCTATTTTCTCAAGCCATAATAGCACTTATTGGCAAGCACTATTCTTCTTTTAATTTCGCCTTTGACATTGTTGTCTTGGTCAGCAGCGAGCCCAGGTAGATGAAAGTGTCCACACCTTCCAGTTCCAGATCATCAATTAATAGTCTAGGTATCTGGTTGCCTTATCTAGTACAATACATATACTTGGTTTTCTGTGCGTTTATTTTTAATCCCATTTTCAGTGCAGACGCTCTTAATGATCGAAATGCTTTGATCAGAGATTTTGTGGACCTAGCAATAATGTCTATGTCATCTGCATATCCGACCACTTGTACAGATTGATTAAAGATGGTGCCATTCGTATTATTATGGCACTCTCGAATTACTTCTTCTAGTGCTAGGTTAAATAAGAGACACGACAGTCCATTCCCTGTCTCAGTCCATTTTTACAATGGAAGGGTCTTGAAAAATCGTTTTGGATTCTGACTACACTCTCTACGCCTGTAAGTGTAAGTTCCGTTAGTTGAACAAGATGAAGCGGTATTTGAAATTCCACTATAGCCTGTAGAAGTTTTTGTTTGTTGACTGAAGGGGCTTTGTTATTTTTCAGTTTTTAAATGGCTTTTCTAATTCTTCTTCGGTGGGGGGCGGCTCTTGAGCGTTTTCATCCATTTCAGGCAAAGTAATTTCTATTTGGTCTTCTTAGAGCAGTTCTTCAAAATGATTCGCCTTTTTAGTATATGTTCTTTGTCACTAATTATGGAACCATCTCTGTCTTTACATGCTGTTATTCTGGGTTTGAATTCATTTTCTGCAGCTTTTATCTTGTGGTAGAATTTTCGCGAGTCTTTTCTATTGTGGTGGTTAACAATCTCGTTTAGAGCGTTTTCGTATGGCTCTTTCTTTTTCCTTCTAAACGTCATTTTTTCTTATCGTCTAAGATTTTCATAGTCTTGCAGGTTTGATCTCGTTCTGCGCTGCTGAAGTCTCTTGTATGTTTTATTTTTCCGTTGGTTAATGGATCTACATTCTTGTTCAAACCAATCTTCGTTTATTTTAGCCTGGTTAGGTTTTAAAAAGCCTTTAGCCGCTGTATGGATAGCTTCCTTGCATTTGGTCCAGTGTTCATCTATACTTAAATTTTCGTCGATTCTTGTCAGCTCTTCGTTATGATGATCTAGGTTTTACTCCGTTTAAATATGTGAATCATTGAATATTTTTGTTAGTCGTTGAGTGCCGTCGGTGTTAAATAGCATTATGAGTTCAACATATGCATTGTCAGGTCCAGAAGCTTTGCCATCTTTTAGTTGTTGTTTAGATATTACTTTTTCCACTTCA